TGACCGCGGTAAGCCTGCCACGAGGTAGGCCTGCACAGAGGCTGAGATCCGCTCTTGAGCAATTCAGGCGGTCCTAGATTTAACTGGATGGCGAATACCGGGAAACTCGGTGCCGAACCCCCAATTCAGTAATATTAATACTTTGACGTCATTTCGTACACCAAAACTCGAGGTTGGACCTCGACCTGACCTTGAGTTTACGTAGCTATCGGCTCGTTCCGTGCCACCTTGAGTTCCTTTTCGAGAGCTAGCTATGCGTACAATAGAGGGATGGGCGAGGGGAGATGCATGCCACGATTCGCGACTTCGTGGAAGGCAAATTTACTATGTTCGCTTCGGTGGCAGTCTTGACTGTATCCGGGGTGCATGGGTTGATAGTGTGCCATCGTGAATCAGGCCAGCGTTCTAGCTCAAAATTTTCACGATAAACTTACGTCTAAGAAATATAGAACAATTTTCGGCACGCCCACGACGTTTCCCGCCGATATGCATGCACAGTGATTGCGCTCGCGTAAGGCGCATCTTGATGTATATCACGCCTCCATTGACCACGGGGTTGGCGGAATACTCTCCCCTGAAACCTTGAAGAAACTCCTGGCTGTCAAGACATACGAAAAAAACGAAAACGAGGTGTGTCTTCAAAATGAACGCTACGGCTGTATGCTTCAGCGCGCTTTGAAACATGTTGTCGGGCGTGGTCCTTTTTTTTTCTGTGCTTCTCCAATCTAAGCAAGCCCTCTCATGCGCACGCCTTGTTCTCCTTATCCGAAATGATACGTCCACACTATCTCCGGAGCAGCTTGTGTTTTTAGGAGACGATTGCGCAGCTCTCGCGAGATTCTACGACACCCCATAAACTAGTCTTCCTAACAATATTATTACGCACATCTTATCCCTAACCAATTTTTCCGCCGGCCTTTTCGTCGTGGCACCTCCTTTTCACTTGCCCGCCGCAGCCCCTCTCAAAACTCAAGAGGTTGTTCCAGAACTTCTTCGTACGAGTGACTTGAGAGAACCAGACGCTGCAGCCCTGCCTCTCGACTTTGACGCGGAGGCGTTTGGCAAGATTGGCATCTCGCCCAGTACGCGTGCCCCTACCTGTCCAATCGAGGTACGGTGCATGCAAGCCTGGGTGCCACTCATCTGTTAGGCATGTCCAGGCTTCGCCTGTGTGGGATTGCTATGCATATCTGATGAGGTTTCTCGCCGTGCTCGCCACCCCAGAGCACTAATTGGGATTTTAAAAGTACAGTCTAGCAAACACTCGCACTTTTTTTTCATGGTGTACATATGCAGCGGTCACATAATCTACTTTGGGTTTGTCGTCGCAATCTCTTTCATGTCTATACCCATGCTACCCATGAATACCCTGCAGGCACCCCACCTGGACCCTCACCCAGTGGTTTCCAATGCCGTCGTTGACCTTACTTTGATCAGCTGCACATCCGCTCACATTCCAATTCTGTCTGTTTCACTATTCGGTTCTCACCATTTGATTTCCTCAAACTTTCATATATGCCCGCTTTTGTGGCAGCCCCTTGCACGGGCGGCCGGTTCGGAGATGGCGCGAGCGATGACGACGAATATCTGGACGACGGCGCGGTGGCAATGGCTGTCGAGGCGGTCACGCCTTGCTTGATCTCGCTTCGCTGCCCGCATCATCAGGCGCGGGTATTCATGAATTATGTGTTTCCTTCCTGTTTTAACGCATCATGGGTGATAGGGCAGCGGTGTGATGGTGTGGCCTCGCGTGTTTAAGAAGGTGGTAAGGTACTGCAGGAGCAGGGAGACTGCGCGTGCCGCCGGATTATAGTATTAAGTAAATAGGACTTTTATCTTTGATAGCTCCGCCATTTTTTTTTTATCTTCGGTGAGATACTCACACCAGTGTTTACAGATATATGATGTTTGATGTTCTGTACACGTTCGCAGAATATATCCAAGTTTGTTGCATCATGGTTGGGTTTTTTATATGCGTACACCCCGTGGTAAAAGTCAGGCGCGGTTGTCGCCTGTATTCCGCCTGGTGGTATTGTTGTAGTCATATTTAGCGAGACTTTTTTGTTGTTCCTGTTTTCTTTCTGATGTGGCGCAGCGTGATGGTGCCCATCATGGACTCTTTGTGTGGGAGCCTGTGACATTCGCGGGGTGAGTCTTGAGCCCAATTTGCTGAGGTCATATCCGTACGTTCATGTCTTTGAAGGATTATGTAGGCCCGTTCTCTCTCTACGCCTCCTTGGGTATTGTTCTATGCTCGACTTCGCTCTACGCGAGGGGAGGGAGACAAACGTATGCGCGTTGTTCTCATGTCGTAGCTCCGTGAGGGGGGCGGGTGAGGAGTACGTTGCGCTTTCGCCTCTGCGTTTTTGTACGATTGACGATTTCAGAGGCCGACATGTGTGACTTGTCGTTTGTCGGCCGCACGATCTGCGATACAACTTGAAAATAAACGTTTTGAGCAACGTCATGCTCGTATCCCTAGTGAGGGCGTCGGCCCAGAAAAAAGTTGCTTACCCCACCCTTGGGCCAACGTCGCTGTGCGTACGTTGGCAGGGTCTGGGCCTACCTATTATAGTGGTACAGACGCGACGATGGCATGCCCATAACCAAGCCCAAGGTCGCTGTGCCTACGTAGCCATGGTCTGGACCTAGGCCAAGGTTCCTTGTATACCGAATCCTACCCAGTTTCGGACTGTGTCCAGGTTACCATTGACGTACGTTGGCAGGGTCTGGAACGAGGGCAACGTGCCTTTCGTGCCTAACCCTGCCCAGGTACTATACCTTGGCCAGGTTACCCAACCCCACTCATGTGATAATGGGGGGCGTACCCAAAAGGTCGCTCGTGCCGAACCCTGCCCAGGTACTTGACCTTGCCCAGGTTACCTAACCCTAGTCAACGCCTAATGGGGGGCGTACCGATAAAGTCCCCCCCCCCCCCCAACCTTGTGGCTTAGCCGAATGGCCACGGGTGCGTGCGTCAAGATAAACGATGCACGTAGGGACTTCGAAGTAATCACTTCAGTTAGCGTTGCTTACGCTAAAAAGAAGGTGACGGCAGCAGTCTGTCGATATCTAGTTGACACCAAGCGGCAAAATTATAATAAAATCCGCCGTCGGTGCTACATGTTGTAACAACAACGTGCGTGGTGCGTGGTGGTCGGTCGGTCATGGTTTATGAGTTGACGTTCTCCCAAATCTCGTCCAATGAACTTCGTGATTCTTTGAGGTGACAGTCCCTACCCTAGACGCCCCCGGATGCAGGAGACTTCACGGTGCTGTAACTCGGCTCGCCCTTGGAGTCTAGAGTTCGCGACAGAGGCGCTGTGATCGTGAGAGCGGCACGCCCACGTCGGCGAAGATGGCCGAAAAAACTGTTTAAACCCCATTCATTGAAAAACAATTAAAACCGATTTGCCGCACCGCAACGTCTAGCTCAATGACTTAAATAGTGGTTGCGTGCATTCACCGTGTTGTAACTCTACTCGCCTTTGGAGTTTCGAGCTCGCGGCAGGGGCGCTGTGATCCAGAGACTGGCCCGCTACAGCGGGCAACAGCCGGCGACAAAAACAGTCTCAAGGCGACCGCGAGCTGATGCACCGAAAAAAAACGTCTTGCTTTTAGAGTGCAACAACGGTTGAACTCTTGTGCCTCAGGCTTCCGACATAATTGTAGTCAATTAAGTCTATGGCCGCGGTTCGGCGCGTGGCGGTGCGTGAGTACGTTAGTTCAAGGACTTCCCGAAACGCCGGAAAAAATCAATTTCCACTTGGAAGCTAAACTCACTCGCAACCCGACAAAGAAGTTATGCATACAACAACAACAGGGTATGAAAGCTACTACGTACGGACGAGACGAATATTTACTTGATACTTGAAGATGGCCAGAGAGTCAGATGAGAACCAACTACCCAACACCTTCCTTCTGCACCTTCCCAGCATAACATACAGATAGATGTACAAGACGGCTACCAAACTGTCCTGCTGAGCCTGTTACACAGGGGAGATAACGCTGTGCGCTGCACGGGAAACCGTGGAAATACAGGTAGCTTTCTCTGACGCTATGAATTCATTGGTGATCTATCTTAGACTCCTTTCCTAGACAGAGATGGATTCGTTGGGTCATATTTAGAAAATATTGAAAAAAGTACACGAACGTGCGTTGGGTTCCAAAACACGGCAGAACTAACCCTATGAATTATACTTATGTCATAAAAGGAGAGACAAACGAGATTCTCCAAAACTGACAAGAAGCTTTTGTACCAAACTTTTGCAGGAGGGGTGGACGGGGGCAAGAGGACTGGGAGGGATACGTGTTCGAACTCGCTCGAACATCTGCAGATGCAGTCTCGAGAACATCGACCGAAGAAAAAAAAAATCGTCTCTAGAGAAGAAACCAATCGGAGATCAACAACTCTCAAAACTAAGAAAACACGGAAATGCGGCCTAACTGGGGAAAAAAACTGGAACCCAATTTGAATATAGGTTTGAGCAACAGAGACTAAATGAAGAGGGCTTCAGGACTTCCAAATGCTGAAAGCGCGGGCGCGTGCTGTATTGCCGTTTAAAGTGAAGAACTTGCTTGATCATGGAAATATCGGAACAAGCACGTCCCCATGTAAAATTGATTTCATGTGTATGGGTCTTGCCCGTGTTGTCCAGGCATCGGAACGAGATTTTGAGTGGTTCGTCCCCGTCACGAGTGGTCTCGGCAAAGCAAATTTCCGAGCAGCGAGTACCACCTTTGTCCCAGGAAGGGGTGGGTATACCCACTTTTCGTCTATTTCCCCCCAATAAACAACTTCCAGCAGTGAGTGTGGCAGAATGTCTGGGCCGTCACGCGCCCACGGACGGTTAAACGGCGACAACAGTGGTCGTCCACTTTCTAGCCCTCGCTGGGCGTCCTACCGTAGAGCCTCATTGGGCAGTCATGGGCCGCCCAGAGGTTGTTCGTGGTACGTGCTGTACGAACTTTGGCGTTCGTTTTGGTGGCGTGGCACGGTTGAAAATCAACAATATATTCACTTTTCGAGCCGTGCATTGGGCCAATTGCTCGTGGAGCCTTTGCCAACGGCGAACGACGAAAGTAACAACAGACAATGAACAACCTCACAACAAGATACAACAACGTTACCCTGTCCTTTCAGCAATCAGACAAAGACAAACTCAGTACAGTTCTGTGTCCCAGCCCGGTTGCCAACTTCGCACAAAATCAATTTTCGTCGCTCAAAAAGCATTTCAGGCCGGAGATACACAAAAAGAGCTGGCTGCCTTCAGAACAGTACGACACCACGCGCACACCAATCTCCCGGACAGCCGAGGTGCACCAACTCCATACGTCGTGGATGACCTCTTCCTGCAATCCTTTTTGGTACCCCGTGTACTATCAATCCACCTCCCGGTTTACCTTCCGAAGACAACCCCAAAGGTCCTCGCGGAGAGTTTTTCATTCTCTCTTAGACTCCTCAACTTTCTTTTCGCCGCGCCTCATGCACAAAAGAAAGGAACAACAAGGTAACCTACTACAGCTATACACGTGTATTTCTCCCTTTTTGAAGCCTTCACCGGATCGAGTCAAAGGTACGGCATCAACGACGACGAGGATGGCCGATGATAACAACACAGACGCAAGCGACGTGTACATGCTGCTGCCTTACACAGGGCAATACACGAACTTAACCCCCTCGCCCAGAAAAAATCGCGTCCGCTCATTGAGAGAGGCTGTGCAGTCCCGACGGACGAAGGCTGACTTGGTTTTAGACAGAACTCCCCAAATGCACTGGGGGCACTTTTCATAGCATAAATTTCCAGTACAAGGTGATACAGACTTGTAGCAACAAGGGACGCGGCATGGGAGTTTCGTGTACAGCAAGTCAGAGGAAAGGCATAACACCGTATATCACACAGCGTACCACCTCACACGAGCATGGTAGGCCAAGGTTTCCCACGCCCTTTTCACACAGCGGAGTCTGGTGACGACTACGGTGCGCCAAACAGACATTTGAGTGCTGTGTCCCCAAATTGTCCGGGTGTCCAGTACTATTACGGTCAACGCCCCCCAAATGATCCCGTATTCCATGTCGAACATACAAAAAACATGCACGAAAACTGCGGATGCTTGCATCTTTGACCGTGCCCGTGAGTGCGGTCAATGCCGCGGAGAAAGCAAAAAAAAACACTTAATCACGTAAACCACACAAAAGCCACACAAAATCGTGACACACCGGGGAACGAAAAGCCCAGGACGCTCCGGGCCTACTGACGGTGAACTCTACGTAGCAGGGCAATCGATGAAGGGAAAATAGCCCTTGCCGAAATGTCAGCACTGTCAGCTCACGGCCTAGATCTTGCTAGCATCGCATCTGCGTTCGATTTCTCGTCGAAATCTCGTAGCTCGCGGTTGATTGGCGCGCCGCATCTAGTAGAGGTGAACAGGCGCTCCATTGGAGAGGGCAGGCCTTACGTGATCTACTTCCACAACAAAAATTCCAAGAGTTCTCTCTGCGTTGTTTTCGCCGTTGAGAGGACCTGAGAGAGGCTCCAGGCACCACGATAGCCCACTCTGAGCTACGGACCACTTTGAGATCTCCACTCCCAGCAATCGGCTAATGCATACACCCGCCAGAAACGGTGAAAAACTAACAAACATTCGAGGATGCTCTCAGAGGGGTGGAGGTATACGAGCAGTCGCGACAGAATTCGCCGTATTTGCTGCCACACTATGAAGCCCCTTTAAAGGGTCGTAAAGCTTCTGCCCCCCTTTTCTGAAGCCACCAAATAAAATCGAGACAACCATCTATAACAGGGTCTACGCAAACAGGTTCTACGAAGATAGATCTACGAAGTCACATCTACGAAGCAACACCAAGCAGCTCCAAAACCAAGTCGCTTACCCTCATAGTTCAGAATCTACTGGAGGGCGTGGAATCCTTCGACCAGTTGTCCGGCAAAGGTCGCCCTAACAACTCCTCCAGCTGAGTGTTGAAAGGCGCAAAAAAATCTCGCATCGACTGCAAGATCTCCGGTGTCACCTGCCAAATGCGGAAGGAGATTTGAGACGACAGCGATGACGACGCATCCCAAGAACAAACAGAGGATAGCGAGTGACCACAACCTGTGCCAGCAACCGAAAGAGCTTTGAGCGAAACGGACCGCTCCTGCACCGAAGAACCTGGGGGGGGAAACTACCATGGTCCAAGCTAAACACAATGGATCTTCAGCATGAGAACAGGTTCTCAGGTAAAGATCTTACCCCAAGCCCAACACAATAGCTGTTGCGTTACCCACAGACCAAACTAGACACGAGCCTCCGGCAAAATCAGCGGTTCCTAAGTGCATCGTGGCGCCTTCTGTACACCAGAAGGACAATGCGACACGACATCGGCATCGGACAACCCCGCTGCAACAGGCGGGGTGGTGGCCACAAGCAGTTGGCTGTTCGCGTCTCGACGTCCGTCGTCTAAGCCTCTGCCTTTTCTTCCCCCTTCTCTGTAGGAAAAGAACAGTGTAACACCGTCAGCCGTATTCCGGAAACGCCTTCTACCCCCCAGCACAAACCACCTCCCCGTTGTTTTGCCCGCGCATGACCGTCTCGCCGAATCAATCGGTGAGCGTAGGTGTCTGTTCTGTAGAAATCTACCACAGGGTTCGTGACAACTACAGCAGTGCCCTCCCGTGAAAACACACACACCAAACACCATTTTGAGCCAGGCCTCAAACCTCATTTTGTCTCCGACACTGAGCAAAGACATATATCTAGGAATTAATGTAGCGCCGGCCGCTATGCTCAATTTCTAGGGCATTTTTCAAAAAGTTGTCCAAAATCTGAACCTCGGTTTCCTACGAACATATTTCTTACGAGCGGGCCGGCACAGTACCAATAGGGCCGTCGACACCACTCCCCGAATGAAGCTCCTGCGACAGAGGCGGTACTCGTTCTTCGGGAATGGGTGGTGTTCAAAAAGTCCGGAACAGAGTCTGTTTGGAATGTCTCGACATCACGCCCTGAAACGGCTCCCACTCGCTCATGAAAATCGGCAAAGAGCAAAAAGTCTTCAGGAGGCTCTGCCGTGGAGGAGAGGGGGGGGGGGTTGTTGCGCGTGTATTCCCTTTCTCGTGGGGCTTGTGGAGAATCAACATGAGTTCCTTGTTCACAGACGAAGATCACGGGGAAAAAAATCAAGAAACACACACGCACCGAGAATAAACACACGAGGCATTTGCTGAATACAACCAACACCCAAACACACAACATTCCGAGAAAAACACGCCACACCTCTCGCGTTTTCGTAACCGTTCTTTCGAGCGCGCACCTGCTCGTCTAAGATCTTCTTCTTTCTCTCATTGGTGAGGTTGTGCTTGGTCCGCACGATCTCTTCCCACTCCGTTCGCGAGCTAAGACCCTGAGTTAGGGCAAGGGAAAGATTCCAAGGGGGTGGTCAGCATCTAGGGTGTCGGGTCAACGGTTGGGGTTAGGGTTTTCGGGGCAAGGCCTTCCAAGGTCCTCTTTCTCACATGCTTGACGGCGATCAGGCTTGCGATGAGGGACAGCGAGGGTGTGAGTGTCGCGATCCTTTGCTAGTTCTCTCGTGTGCTGAGACCCACCCTGCTAGGGGCAAGGCTTGGGCTTAACCGAGGGGTAGGTCTAGGGAAAAGTGTCGAAGGCGGCCTAGACGACTCTCGCCCAATCCTCACACTCTATAGCAGTGTGCCAACATCAAGCTTCAAGTTGGAGCCTGAGTAATGCCAGGGCTAGGGTTGAGGACAGCGTGAGGAAGCGGGGAAGGAAGGTCGTGGTTGTCGTCGCTGTCTTTGCCTTCTTCAGAGTCCTCGACATTGTTCTGGGTATCGATGTCGCCGTCGCCGTTACGGGTTTTCGTACCTCCAATATTGCTATCGTAAAAAAATAACGCATTGTTCGTTGTGATATCGCTGGGGTCCCATCATCTCCCTCTTGGGCGTCGCCCCTTGTGGTACAAGCCTAGGGCTATCCATGGAGCGCAATTCGAAACTGCGAGAAATGCAGTAATAAGGCATACAAAAAAGCATCCGGTCCCGTAAATCGCCCCGTGATCACGACAAAATAAAAAAACATTAGCGTTCTAGTAGCGCGTGCAAACCCACGTGGGTCATACAGCCAGCTCACCTTAACCCCCTCCTTCTCGTCAAGTAGGTCGACCCCCAAAAAGTCAAACACGCTCGTGATGGTGCCCATCGGGTCGACGGCCATCTCCTCCAGGAACAAGACCTTTCGACAACCAACCAAACCAAACCACAAAGAAAGAGTGTTGATATAATGCGCTAACGTTATCGCTTGCCCTAAACGCTTTTTCGTTGTATTCTTTAGGAGAAAAGAAACACCAGTTCGTCGGGGTGGCAAAAACAAAGAGAGAAACGAAAACGTTTGAGGATACTGAATAAAAAAAAAAAACGTTTAGGGCAAGACCCGTAGAGAGAGCAAGACTGGTACGCATAGCTTAATCTCTCCGCCTCTCTCTATTCCTTAGATTTTCGGGGAAGACCTGAATACGCCAATCCAAAACAACGGCAACAGCATCACCCGCAAGCATCGAGGAAAAAACGTTTTGAGCAATCATCAGTGCTCGGGGGGGCGGGGGGTCCGTTGATCCACGACGTCCACCGCTTATCTCAGCAGTGATCCAGGTGGAGTTTTTTGTTTCACTGACCTTGACGTTTTCTCGGCCGAACAGATCGAGCCATCGCTCCAGCTGCAGGGAGTATATGCTCTTGCCTACGTGGGAGAAGTACATGTTGTGCTCCAGAAACGCATGCGGGTTGCACCTGGATGATGCCGAAAGAAGCTTGCCATAGTCAGTGACAGTGTGTCCTACAGACCAACGCCAAATCCTCCACACGACCAACCTGTGGCATCTATTATAGACGGTCCATAGTGGTGTAGCCTCATTCTTTCAGCCTGTTGGCGGCAGAGCCCTGTTTACCGGTACGTAGAAGATTCTTCTTGCCTCTCCTTTGCGTGAACCCCCCCGCGGCCGCCTTCTTGCTGCGGTAGGAGGGTTCAGCAATCACCCTCGCGTCCAAAACAGAACCAACCAGCTGATATACCGTTAACAACGCCAATCCGAAAGGGGGACTGCGTTGGGTGGAACTGACCAGAAGGGTGCTTCATTCGCAGCAGCAGCAGCAGCAGCAGCAGCAGCAGCAGAAGCAGCAGCAGCAGATTCAGCAGCACCAACCACGACAACAACAACGGCTGTCCTTTTACCAACAACTCACATTTGGAGGTCGATATAAAGTTTCAACGCGCCGGGATGGCGGATTTGGTTCCGTTGATCATTCTCCTTGTCGGACAGGCACTTAACAAGAGACAGGGCGTGCTCCCGTCCCTCGGAGAACGCCTCCTCAAGGCTGCGCCGTTCGGAGCTCGGGTTGGCCGCCTCACCCTTCTCGATGCCCTCCACTGTCGTTTGCCGGTTGCGGTTGTGGTGATGGTTTTGTTTGCATCGTTCTGTTCTTATCGTCGTTCTCATCCTATTCGTTACAATTGTTCTTGTTGTCCTGAGTTGCGCTGCTGTTCTTGCCAGTTGTTTTCATTGCGGATGATATGACCGCCATGGGCTCGGACCTTCTACACCAACCGGCACAAGACGGAGCAGTAGGGTGAGGAAGCAAATCCAACAACAAAACGACACCTACCGAGAAGCAGCAATCGACACGACAAAACTGGTAGCGTTGTAGATCGCATGGGCAGGAGCTACAGGGTACCCGACCCTAGAGCTAGCGTACCCTAGACTTCCTCCACGTGGGGCCCCAACAGGGTCACGCATAGCGAACCATCACGCGCGATCGAGTTCTCGAAGACTTTCCACAAGGAAACTACTGCCCAAACGACACAACGATCACGGCGAGAGGAGACCAAAAGAGAAAAATCAACGCCTTAGGACGGACAGACCGTCGTCGACAACGCCAAGCATCGATTGTCATTGCACCGAGAAGCAAAAGACGCAGGTGCTTTCCACGTTGTTGCGCGGCCCTCGTTCTACCATTGCTAGGGACTGATCTGGGGGGCAAGGCGTGTCAACCGCCCGAATGTGCTCCGTGACTGCACACAGAACAGGCGAGTGCGGTCGTACTCACACCCAATCAGCCCGATGAAAAATATAACAAAATCTAACAAAACAAAATGTCGAAACAACTTCATTCATTGCGTGTGTTTGCCGACAAGCAAGAAGACAAACGGCAAAAAGATAACAGCGGGTGTTCTACAGAGTCGATCCGTAGTGTTTCGATGCCGGCCATTCGAGTGCGTGGTCATGTGTACTCACGGTCATACTTGAACTGCCAAGAGCTTATTGTGCGGGCCACCGGTTCCCGGAGGACCGCGATGTACTTCACAGTCCCATCGTAGGAAGTCTTCCCGTACATATCTCTGATACGGTAGGGCACTTCCGCCAGGATGGAGTAGTGTGGTGTGTCTGCGGCCAGGAACAACACAAAAACGCACAAGGGGCATCAGGAGCAGCAACAGCAGCCGCAGCAGCGTTATCAGCATCGGCAGTGCGGTCCAGCGATGATGAAACAAACACCGGTTACTCGCTTTTGAATGCTGTCCGGTACGGCTGAGCCGCCTCTACTCGTTTTCCCCTATTCATCCCCAACACGAACAACACCTCTATCGATCCTACTACACCAAACGCTTCGTTCCCCCCCGCCCCCCCCCCCCATAACCGTCATTTCCACTACATCCCCAGGCTTCTCTGCTTGGAACCGATGAGAATAAACCATGATGACGGATTGCCGAGCTAGCTCCGGTGGTGCTTGGACCGGCCTCAACATAGAAAGGTGGGTCGGGACCATGCTCCACAGGAAAAAACAGCCGACCAGCACCTAAGTCCGCCGTCAATCTCGCAACCCAACGCCACCTAAGCCCCATGAAGCACTCACAGTCGATGACCGTGTCCGTTTGCGCAGCCATCGGCGCAGTCAAGGCGTAGGTGCTCTCATTGTCCTTGATGGTGCTCATCTCCATCACGTGCGCCTCTCCCCCCTGCTTATGCCGGGTGTGCCAGACGTTAGAAACCCAACTTAGGGCGGGGTGCCGGGCCATCCAGTGCGCCAGAGAGGTTGTCCCGCACTTGGACACGCCGAAGAAGTACACGTTGGCGTGGCACCGCGAGCTGTCCTCGCCTTCCAACACGAAGCACCGCGCGGGCGGGGGTGGCTTCTTGATGAACCCGTGTAAGGTCCTCCCGCTCGCGACTGCCACGCCCCCGCTGCTGCCTCCTTGGTCCCTGTACTCGCCGAGACTCCCGTTCCCGGAGCGGTCTTGACGTTGGGCACCACCTGTACTTGGGCCACAGCGCGCGACTGCAAGCGCCACGACGAGGGCGGCGGCGGCGGCGGCGCAGATCATGACCACCCTTCGAGAGGCCCAGGTTTCGGTACGGTCCCCCACGCTGTGGCAGCGTCGAGATGGCGTGAAAAAAAGACCGAGGAGGTTAAGAGATGCGGTGGCGCGAGCGAGCGAGCGAGCGGGGGCGGGGGTTCCATAGGCGAAGGAGACCTTCCGCGTCCTCCACTTGTTAGCTACTCCGACCTTGGCTGTGCCGGGAACACCGAAGAGGTGCGGTTTGTGTACACCGGACTACAACTTTGTTGTTGCGAGCGAAAGTGTAGGTTGGCATCGCCGCCCAATCGAACCAGCAAGCAAATTCCTTGTGTCCCACCCCGATTGTTGTCTACGGTGTAAAAAATTTGGCGCAACGCCAACTTGGCAGTTGAAACCCAAACGATACGAATCTCTAACGTTATTGTTGTTCTCAGAGAGAGGCTTGCTCAGAAACAGATAACTCCTCGGGCCTTCCCTCACACGAATGAACGGCGATAAGCACCTCGCACACACATGCACGTACATGGTGTCATCAACCTATCGATAGAGTGCAGACCAGGGGATCAGGGTGTGGCGATCGTTAATGACGTCACTTTTTGGGATTTCGGTGCCATGCATAACCATGCCCTACCACCCATCTACGATTGCATATGCTCACGTGTGGATATAAACTTATCTACACACTCTTTTTTAGGTTTGCCTGACCCTCCCAAGGTCCTCGCGTTTCCGAGCTCCAAGTGATGGACGCCCCTGTATTTCTAGCGTAGAAAACGGTTTTCTCACCACAGGCGCCTAGCGGCGAAAAACGTCAAAAATCAATATACACAAACTGGTTTTTCGTCGGGTTTTCGTCGAGCTGGCCTGAAGCATATGTGGCCTGCCCTGGGATGTCTCGCGCCATCATGCTTGCCGTGCCTCACGCTAGCGATAACGCAACGCGGCCTGTGAATCGGAACGTCCGCCACCCACGAACCCGAACCAAAAACGATTCGCCCCTTTCATTGGCTGAGAGGGGAAATGCGGACTACCTATCTGTGGTTCGTCGGGGGGTATAGGGACAAACTTCCGTCACGCAAGCACCCGTCGACATTCGCTCCGCCGCTGCTGGTGGGTCTCAACGTTTCCTATCTGCCTTGGCAACACTGTATAGGTAATGGTGACATTGACATGCAGCATCGCGTATTGTGTGTACTATACACTCTTCGTCCTGCCCCTGTCCGCCCCTCGTGCAAGTTTCGCACCATGATCTTTTTATTCTTTTTGAAATTACGTATCTCAAGGACTCGGGGGGGGGGGGGTGTACTCATAGTCGTGCATGCCGTAGTCGTTTGACCATTGACCTCGCATCCCTACAAAGCCGGGACGGAGCACGCCGGGTTCTCGCCGGACCAGGCTCTCACATCACCAAGCGCGAAGCGCCGTGAGGTATTTGGCGAGTCGCATGAAGGGTGAGCTGCATCCTGCTAAGGGTGTTCGGCATCTTGTGCTTACTTCCTTGCGTACGGATGACAGCTAAGTATGACTTAATTTATTTTCTGGTGCTTTCACTTCCAGAGACAGTAGTAAGCACTGTGTAACTGCCTCGAGGAAGCTTGACCATTTTAACACAACGTGGTGCGATCATCCCCCGTTGCGCGGAGTGAGGTTTCTCGACCCCGCACAACATGATCTACTCGACCACCATTATGGTTACCGCCAAAAAAAAAAACGAGGTAAAAAAAAAAACGGTAACCTGGTTGCCGAGTTCACGAAGGGAATTGGCTTGTTTTACAACGTCGTTGCCAAGCGACGAAAACCCAATCCCGATGGCAAACACCGAGTGGGGGGCTTG